ACTTTTGTAGTCTCAAAAAGTGGACACTACAAACTTTTGTAGTCTAAAAAAGCGGACACTACACACTTTTTCAAATGAAAAAGCAGACACTACAAACTTTTCCAATAAAAAAGCGGACACTACAAACTTTTGTAGTCTAAAAAGCGGACACTACAAACTTTTCTGATGACAAAAGCAGACATTACAAACTTTTGTAGTCTAAAAAAGTGCCTTTTCTAAAGGCTCTCATGCTCTCTTTTGCATATGATTCCTCAAACTAGACATGGAATAGAGTCCCTGCAATGTATCTGTATATTCCCCAGCCATTTCCCCATCAAATATGTGCCATGTATGGGATGGATGGGCTAGGTTGACTTTGGATAACCTTTTAGCCCTAACCCTAACTTTGTAGTCTAAGTCCAACTTTTGTAGTCTTTTGTAGTGTATCAGTAAAATTTGTAGTCTATGTCCGACTTTTGTAGTCTTATATAGTCTATCAGTAAACTTTGTAGTTGAGTCCGACTTTTTTGTAGTCTATATCTGACCATTCCTTTTCTAGGGCATGCACCTTCCTTTTTTGGTCATTTTTCCCACGATACAATAGTTGTAGCCCTTTCTTTTAGCTTTCTAAATATACTGAAATCATACTGTTTGGTTTTGTTTTCATGGAGAAAAATGCAAAAAACAAAAAAAAAACATGACACTTTTGGGATTCCTTTACCTCATATCACCACAATGGGAGCACTTCAGAACATAATTTAAACAGATTCAGGAAGCTACAGTGTAGGGCTACAACTTTTGTTTTTTGACCATTTTTGGTAATTGGTCATGTGACCATCATCCCAACATCCCATTACATGGACCCTGATAGGTAAAATCATTCTCTGCTTGGTTTTCTTCACTTTTTGGTCAAACCAGGTGATATTTCCCTTTTGGGATGGAACCTGAAGTGGACCCTGAAGGCAGTGCCTGATGTTCTGTACACCATTTATATATATATTCAATTTTTCCGCTATTTTTCTGGCTATTTTTAGATATATTACCATATTTGGAACTGGACCCTGGACCCTGACAATGTTACCCAACATGATGATCAGCAATGAGCCCTAATTTTTCCTGATTTTATTGCTATTTAACATTTGGAAATGCACCCTGGACCCTGAAAGGTCAGCTGCTGCTAAAAATGAAATATTCATTGAAAGCGCCAGGTACACATATGAAAAGTGCAATGAAATCTCCTAGGAATAAGAATGAAATATCCATTGAAAGTGCCAGGCATCCAAATGAGAAGCACAATGAGATATCCTGGGTTTAGCAATGAAATATCCAATGAAAGCACCAGGTATATCTATGAAAAGTGCAATGAAATATCCTAGGAACAAGAATGAAATATCCTGGGGCTAACAATGAAATATCCAATGAAAGCGCCAGATATATATATGAAAACTCCAATGAAATGTCCTGGAGCTAAGAATGAACT